GGGAAGCAACAGTAGTATACCTTGCTACTGAAGGTTTGAAATCAAGGTGCCAGGTCAGCGCTAATGGCCAGCTAATTATTCTAACACCCTGTAATTAAGTCTGAAGTGCTATATAACTTTTGTACAATGAGGTACACTTCCACTGCCTTGAGAGGTAAAGCAATGGAAAAAGTGAAGTTACGTAAATTTGGGCTTTGAATTAGGCTTGTAATTATGTTTCTTATTCTAATCCACCGACTCCTCAGAGATCATGCACAGTAAAGCTCTGAACTTGTAATTTTTTGGTAGTGCTTTTGTAGAACTGCAAAACTTCTTTTGTAGGACTCAAATTTGTAGAAAAAATTCATAGAGTTTTTTTGGTTCCTGGTTCTCTGTCTTTGTATTACTTTAAGGGAGAGAAAGAAAATGATGTGATAAGAGAGAATAAAAGAGAGAGGAGAACAAGTAGAGGGAAAGGAATAGATTTTATTTTTCAAAATTTAAAAATATTAAGGTCATTCTAAAAGGAAATTATTTCACTTTTCCTTATGTGCACTTAATAGCTCGTTGTGGTCTCAATGCCAATAAATGAAGATTTTTTTGGAGGAATGGAAAGAGTTAAGGTAGTTATTTCCAAAGTTCCTATATTTCTGTTAATTTGTATATTTTGTTAAAAACTGAATATGAGGGCACCTGGGTGGCTCAGTGGATTAAGCCGCTGCCTTCGGCTCAGGTCATGATCTCAGGGTCCTGGGATCGAGTCCCACATCGGGCTCTCTGCTCAGCAGGGTGCCTGCTTCCCTCTCTCTCTTTCTCTCTCTGCCTGCCTCTCCGTCTACTTGTGATCTCTCTCTGTCAAACAAATAAATAAAATCTTTAAAAAAAAAAAAAAAACTGAATATGAAATATTTCTGATAAACAGAAAATTATAGAAAATAGTAAAATAGACACAAATACACCCACCGCTGAGATTAAATACTTGTTCATATTTTGCTAGATTTACTTCAGCTCTCTCCCTTTTAATAAATAAAACTTTATAGATACTATAGCTATAAAGCTGCAGCTTTGATTTCTTGCCTCTTCTTTCTTTACTCTATGGAAGTAGGTGAAGATTTGGGGTGCATTTTCCTCATTTTTTTTAAAGATTTTATTCATTAAAAAAAATTTTTATTTATTTATTTGTCAGAGAGAGAGAGAGAGCACGCACAAGTAGGGGCAACAGCAGGCAGAGAGAGAAGCAGGGAGCCTGATGTGGGGCTCAATCCCAGGACCCTGGGATCCTAACCTGAGCTGAAGGCAGAGGCTTAACCCACTGAGCCACCCAAGTGTCCCTTCCTCATGTTTTTATACACACAAATGCACACACACACACCATATATATGTATGTGTATATATATGTGTGTATATATATATATATACATATATGTATATATATATCTCCACTTGATTTTTCTCTTTATTCTTGAGGTATATCCACAAGTAGACCCAGTTATTTATTTTATTTTATTTTTCTTTTTTTTAAAGATTTTTATTTATTTATTTGATGGAGAGAGAGATCACAAGTAGGCAGAGAGGCAGACTGAGAGAGAGAGAGAAGCAGGCTCCCTGCTGAGCAGAGAGCCCGATGTGGGGCTCGATCCCAGGACCCTGAGATCATGACCTGAGCTGAAGGCAGAGGCTTTAACCCACTGAGCCACCCAGGCGCCCCCAGTTATTTATTTTAAGTGTAATAATGGATTCTACCATATAAGAACCCTTTGTGGGTTTTATTCTTTCTGTGACTTTCTGCAACCGCAAGCTGGTGAAATAGTTTACTCTTTTTTACTATTATGAAGCAAGAAGTATCTTCGTATGGTATCTCTGGGCATCTCCAGGGAGACATGTAGACAAGGAAGTGCTGGGCCACAGGTGCATGTACCTTCTTCTCTCCTTGGTCCTATAAAGTTTGCTGCCCAATGTGGCTGCACTCATTGTATATGCTCGTCATCTTTGTAGGAATCCCTACATCTTGGCCAAAACTTGGTGATGTGAGACTGTAATATTTGCCAATCTGGTAAGGGTGAAATGGTATCTCATAAAATTGTCACTACAAAAAACTGACCGGGAATGATCCATCCCTTCCCTCAACTTTTCACACCTTTCTCTCTTATATAGCCATTGAGAGTGAACCCTCACAAAAGTTGCATTCGTAATTAGATGTTGAGACTGAACAGAAATGATAAAGGAAGAAAACGTATTTTTGGATTCCAAGCTTCTCCGGGCCTGCCTTTTGTCTCATTAAGTTTTGTCCTAGCCCTGTGCACCTAGCACATTTGGAGCATTCCCAAAACTGTTGACTCAGTGAAGTATATCATCTTCCTGTGGGGGTGTCAGAATGAGAAACAGTGCATGCTGTTGTGAAGTTTAAATAATAAATTAAAAATGTACTTTTAAAAATGTAAAACTTAGGCAAAAGTATTATTTTCACAGATGCATTGCAGTTGCAAAGAATTTCTTTTTCTTTCTCTTTCTCTCTCTCTCTTTTTTAAAAGATTTTATTTATTTGAGAGAAAGCATGAACATGGAGCAGGGCAGAGCTAGAGGGACAAGCAGACTCCCCACTGCACAGAGCCCTATGTGTGGCTCAATCCCAGGATCCTGAGATCATGACCTGAGCTAAAGTCAGATGCTTAACTGGCGGAGCAACCCGGGTGCCCTAAGGATTTCTATAAGAAAAGTTTCAGAGGGATCTATGTGAAGCTTGAAAATTAATTATAATAACTTCTGTTGATAACTTCTTTATTTATACTTAGTACCTTCTACATGCCAGGGACATGAGAAAGAAAAGAGTAACCCTTCACATAAGGTAACTAGTTTGACACTTACAGCAAGGGCCCAATGTTTTTAAAAGCTAGCCTGACACTCACAGCTAAGCCACGTTGTTCTCCTCATGGACATAAACAATCTCTCAGAGCACCAGTATCAGATAAGGTCACTCTGACTGTGTTGACATGAGACAGAGCAAGACCACTTCTAATTTTATCTACGTACAAACAACAGCAAGGTCAAGTGCAAATCACAAAATACCAACCCTTCCCTCCTGATACTATGAATTACTGTTGTTTTGTTGTCAGTTACAACTCTAGCTTCATTCATTACCTATCATTCTTCTAGATAAAATTTATCAAGATATCCAGTCATTAAACTGTCCCCAATTCCTGACAGTACTGAAATCCAGAGTAACCCTTCCCATTCAGTTTCTAAGGAGCCTTACAAATCACCTAACAGAAGTCCAAATCCTTTCAGTCCTTTCTAAGACGTTCTTACTGAGAAACCCCACAGTTCCCCAAAGAGGATGGTCTCATCCCCAGGGAGTAATAAACTCCACCTGCTCAACTGCAGGTCTTTCTCCTGGTGGTCTTTGATGGGAAGGGTTTTCACAGACATTCCTAAGAGCTTTACATATGCTATCTCATTTAAGCCTGACAATACCCCTGTTAGGTATTATTATTATTATTCCCTTTTGCAGATGGAGAGGCAGAGATAGTTTAACATCATCTCCAAATGTCATAGCTAATAAATGACAGGAATACAATTTGCACTTGGGTCTAATGGTTATTAAGACTTAATGAACTGCTTCAGTTCTATGGTTCCTGATGGTCCTAATTATCCTGGACTTTCTCCCCTGAAGATGACTTGCTCTTTAAAGATAGAGACTGGTGCAGAAAGTCTGGCACAGTATAAACAAAGAAACATTTAAAAACAAGAATAAAAACAAAACAACAATGAAGCCTGAAGATATACTTGGAACTAAAGCCTCTTTTCTGAACCTCTGTGCTTATCTCCCCAGAGTTGCTAGAGTTGTTTCTTGTACCCAAATCAGTACCAGACGTTTACCACACCACTTCCATGTAGTCAGAAGATGGATAACTTAAGGAAATAGTTCAAAAGAAAAGATGACTTTAAAGGCGGGAAAAAGCACACCGATGTGTGGGGAAACTGCTTTGGTCTTGAGGCTTGACCTTGGGTTTACACAAGGAACTCTTGCATGGTTGAGCTCAAGGCCCTTCATTGTAAGCTCTTGAAGTTTTCCCAACTTTTTGGGTACTCCTGGCCTTGCTTCTGACCTCCAATAGGTTACATCTAATGTCCTGCCACTCTTTCCTACCTAGTGAAAATCCATGGGCTCTTCTTTTGCCTTTCTAGATCTGTTCCTTCAGATTTAATATTCCTCCTCTTTGTTCTCAATGAATCTTTAAAATAACTGCTATACGTGTATATTATTTTGTTATTCGTGTAAAGATTTGTGAACCACATACTGTCCTTAAGGATGTGGCCGAGCCCCTTCTGATTTTTGGTGGCCCTCTCTGCCACCCCGCAGCGGGCTCTCAGCACTTAGGTACTCAGCAGGCGTTCAGTATGTCCAAAAAGCATCCTTTTGGAGCGTCATGGTTGCTGTTGTTCTTACCTTCCTCGCACACTTCCAAGTAAGTACAGATCCTGGAACTACTTTTCTCGGTGTCCACCGCACCAGGGCTTCCCGAGTGGGGCAAGGCAGGGTTAGCAGATGATTTCATATTCCAGGGCTGCTCAAATAGTGGTTCAGAGGGTCTCGCCTGCCTTCCAGATTGGCAGGAACCGTTCTCCAAATTCTAAATAAACCCATACTAGCGCTAGTGACTTCTGGTAGGTTCTCACGCTCTTCCGACCTGATCCTTGCGGTGCCCTTAAGACGAGCGGCCGGGACCGCCAAAGGGATTGAATGGCGAAACGAACGGGCCGCACAGCCAATCACGTTTCGCTCTGCCCGGAAAAGGCGGGTCCCGGGAGTGTCATTGACAAAGCCGCGCGGGATTGGCGGGTCCGGAGCGGTCCGGGGTGGCGGGAGTTTTCGGATGTGTTGGCGGTGACCTCGGCAGCAGCGGTTGGGCTGAGTTGGATCCGAGGGGCGGGCGGCGGAACCGGGAACGCCAGTCCGCCGCGGATTTCTGAGCTCCCGTCTCGCGGGGCTAACTGCGGCTGTCTTCTTTCCGTCCCCCAGAGCTGCGGGGAAGGATGGATCGGCACCGGCCGCGGCTGCACCACCCGAAGCAGGGCTCCGCCGCCGGGGCCCCCTACCCAGCCTCTGCTTCGCTCCGGAGCTGCCGCGAAAGCAAGATGCCGCGCAGGAAGGGCCCCCAGCACCCTCCGCCCGGCGCGGCAGAGGAGCCTGGAGAGAAACGCCCCAAGTTTGTAAGTTTCGCCTGGCGCTGTGGTGGGGCAGCTCCTGCCTTGCGGAAGGGCTGTGGCTCACGTCCTGGGATCCTTCAATTTCGTTACTCTTTGACTGGCTTGACAGCCGTGGGTGGGTCCACGGGGCCTGGGTAGGGGGAGGGGGGGGGTAAGTTTTGTTCTAGGTTTATTAGGGCTACCAGTCTCCTAATAGATTTACAACGACAGGGTCCAATTCTGTTTGGATCCTCTGACAAACCCACTTGATGCACTGTGTTGCCCCACGTTTGTTCTGGCTGAAAAGCCGTTCAAAATTGTCTGTATTGACGTCACCTAGGTGGACATTGCTTTTTTTAAGTTGAAAATTCTCCCCACCCCTCTAGGGTCTTGAGGGTATAAGACATAGCAAAGTGAACTTCTAGGGGATAAGAGCCTCCCCCCCCCGGTTTACTATTTTAATCCACGAAGAACTTTTTAAGGCAGATGTAATTTTCCAAGTACAAAAAAACTCGTTGCAATAACATGGCGGGCTATGTAGTCACTGCTAAGGAATGTTTCGCTTAGATTGGAAAGAAGTCTAAGTATTTGAAATTCGCTATTCTGGTTGCTTCTCTTATTCACTTTGGCATCCAAGGGAGATGTCATGATAAGCGGCTTGCGAATCTTTTTGTTGGTGTCATCTAGCGATGCAATGCAATGATGATTGTTTTGCATAAGTGTGTGCAAACAAATCACTGAAGGTTGATAGCTCTGGGGTGAATCTAACAACTGAAAATTTAATATTTGGACCCGTCCATTTTACTTAGGAGTACGGAAAACTTTTTAAGTTATTGGTAAAATTATACAGTACTGCATGTGCCTTCTGTGAACAAACACTCATTAGGAACTTAAGTCAGGATACACATATTAAGGGAATAGAGATTTGTGGAGGAGGAGTGAGTTGCTAAGTATACAGTTAAAAATGATGGTTGAATAAAACTGGGAGCAGAGCTATGATATGTATCAGAATGCTGAAAATGAGGGACAACATGGATTAATTTTGCTAAAGTAAGTATCAAGGTGGCCATAGGCCATGTGAAGTTTTGCAGGAGCATCAACTATGTTGTTATTTTAGCAGAGTTGAAGAATAAATGGGATTGAGTTAAACTGGCAATGCAGGATTCTAGCCAGTAGGAAGAGAATCCTGGGGCAATGATTTTTCTTCCTTTTAGAGTCTACTCTCTGTGTTAGTGATGTCATTCTATTTTGTTTCTCACTCCTATGCTCCAGAATGCATGGGATGTGATTTTCTCTGACTCCCCCATCAAGGACGTCATGGAAACAGAAGCTAAGCTAGTATTTAGGTTTAGTTTCATTTTAGGATGTATCAGGTGATTTGGATTCTAGTCTGTTTTTCATTTCTTAAGTATGTTAAAAGGGTTATTGTAAAGATGAAATGAACTCCAAAAGCAATACTTTGAAGCTTTAAAGTTAATAAACATATCTAAAAAAGTGTTTTATTTTTTATTTTTTTTAAGATTTATTTATTTATTTGAGAGAGAGCATGCATGTGCGTGGGGAGAGGCAGAGGGAGGGGGTCCCAGGCAGACTCTGTGCTGATTGCAGAGCTTACCACCAAGCTTCATCTCACCACCCTGAGATCACAACCTGAGTGGAAACCGAGACTGGGTCCCTTAACTGACCATGCCACCCAGGAGCTTTGTTTTTGGATAGGAGTCTGATTTGAATCACGGCTTCATAATTAATTTAGAGGTAATTTTGACTATTGATAATCCCTGAAACTAATTTAGATTCTTGCTGACATGGTAGTTTCTTTAGCTGTATTTTCCATTTCACTAATTCTCTTATCAGCAATGTTTAATCTGCTATTTAACTTGTTTGGAATATTTAAGTTTAGCAATTACAGTTGACTCTTGAACAACATGGGTTTGAACTGCACGGGTCTAGTTATGCATGGATTTCTTACAGTTCAGTACTATAAAGTTATTTTTTCTTATGATTTTCTTTTTTTTTTTTTTAAGATTTTATTTATTTATTTGACAGAGATCACAAGTAGGCAGAGGGGCAGGCAGAGAGAGAGGGGGAAGCAGGCTTCCTGCTGAGCAGAGAGCCTGATGTGGGGCTCGATCCCAGGACCCTGAGATCATGACCTGAGCCAAAGGCAGAGGCTTTAACCCACTGAGCCACCCAGGCGCCCCTTATGATTTTCTTTTTCTTTTTTTTTTTTTTTTTAAAGATTTTATTTATTTATTTGACAGAGAGAGATCACAAGTAGATGGAGAGGCAGGCAGAGAGAGAGAGAGAGGGAAGCAGGCTCCCTGCTGAGCAGAGAGCCCGATGCGGGACTCGATCCCAGGACCCTGAGATCATGACCTGAGCCGAAGGCAGCGGCTTAACCCACTGAGCCACCCAGGCGCCCCCTTATGATTTTCTTAATAGCATTTTCTTTTCTTAGTTTTTTGTAAGAATAGAGTATATAGTACATATAACATGCAAAATATATGTCAGCTGGTTATCAGTAAGGCTTCCAGTCAGTAATAAGCTATTGGTAGTAAGTTTTTGGAGAGTCAAAAATTATACACGAATTTTGACTACATGGAAATCCATCAGTGCCCCGAAACCTTGTGTTGTTCAATGGTCAACTGCATTTTTTATTTCTGTAGGTTCTCTTTGTTTCTTTTTCAGATCTGCATGGTCATTCCTGATAGTTTGTTGTTTCTTATTTTTTTTAAATTTTTTTTTTTAGGTATTTCCTATGTGACTCTTTTTATTTTTTCTTTGATAGTTCTGGTGTGTGTAATTTTTGGACTGTCTGTGTTGACTTGCATTCATGGTGGCTTACTCTCACTCCTCCTGTGCTTATAGATCTTTAGAAGCTCATTGCTTTATCTTAACCTATCTTTCAAGAGGCCTTAGTGGGGATGCTTTTCTCCGGTGTCCTTTTCTGGGAGTGCCACCAATTTGGGACCATCTGTTATAGGAGTAGGACTCATAGAGAGCCCAAGTTTCCATGCTTAATCCTAACTCTGTTCCTGGCCTAAGGTGTGGTATGCCAATCTTAAGGCTGCCCTCTGAGCAGCTCTTCCCAGTCAGCCTAGTTCTGCACTGCTCTCAGTCTCACCCTAGTAACTCTTACTTTGAGGTTGGAGATGACCGCTCCCTCATGCGATCTCAGCAATGCCTCTGTATGTGATTGTTCTGTAGTTCTGTTTGCTCTCCTGCCAGATGTCATGTCGGTTCTTGGCTTCTTTTGATTTCATATGGAGCCACATTAGCCTGAATCTCTTCGGGCCGCCGAGTCATTAGGTCACCTACTTGCCAGGGGCAGCTGCTTTTGACTGGAATAAGTAAGGTAGGTTGGTGATGTCACAGGAATAGGGATAATTTACGTATTTGGTGTTTTACATACTCCATAAAGCTGCAAACTGACAGTTGAACTGAATGGGAAATTGGTCCCTTGCCCTAGTCTTAGATTAGGAAGGCATAAGTTCTGGTGCCCACTGAAATCCTGGTTTACTCTGAGCCTTGATAAAGCAGACACATCCTTGTTTTCTAGTGTAGGTCTAGTCCTGGGTCTCAAGTTACTTTTGAATTGTATATACAAGTTTGTGGTATAGAATTTCTCCCCATAGATCCTTGTAAAGAGTAGAAATTAGTCTGTTGTAAATGTATGCTAGTTTGGCTACACTGACTTTTGGGCTGTTTGGGAACTAACCAACTTGACTTCAGTAGAAAATATGGTAAGCAGTGAGGTGTTTTTTTTGTTTGTTTGTTTGTTTTGTTTTTTTGGTAAGCAGTGAGTTTTGAGATGCTGGGGATAGATATTAGGGGACAGGATGTAACTATTGGAGGCTGGGGGTGGGGGAACAAGGCAGGGTCTGGATGAAGGCTTTGAGAAGGTAGATAGAATTCAGGAGGATCATTAAACTTTGTCCTGCCCTAGGTCACAGTCTCAGTACCTGAGCTGAAGTCCTATTTCCCTTTTAGAATAGAACAAAACAGTTGCCTCTTCATCATGAAATGCCTCTCAGTGATGCTGGGCACTTTGTTCTTACCTTTCACTGCTCTTAGAAGCACACAGCACAGGCAGTAGTGGCCTCCCATCCAGTCTGAGAGCAGGATGTGTGGCTTCTGGAGAAGTTCTCGTCTCTAGGCTGTGGGCCTATTTTTTGAGAGGAGGCCTGTGCATTTGGTGATCCTGTTGGGAGAGCAGCTCTTCTTTATAATTAGGAATATCCTTTAAAACTTCTGATAGACTTTAGTGTAAATCTTGCATCTTATCTTATGGTTTCCATCGAATGGATTGTTAATTATTGTTTAATTATGTCATTACAGTACTTTAAATTTGGGTTGTGATTTTTCACCTTGTCCAGTAATATCTGTCCAGTAATATCTGTCTATCATTTTGGACATCAATAATGATAATAATTAACCCTAATGATTGAACCAAGTTCTGTTCTAGGTGCTGTCCACTCACTCACTCTTTTACCCCCTACAACAACCCTATGAGGTGTGTGCTATTACTAGCCTTGTTTGCTGGGTGGGAAAAGTAAAGGACAGAGGTTGAATTGCCTTAGGTCACACAGCTGCCTGTTGGTAGGATGGGGTTTGAACCCAGACAAGCTGTCTCCCACATTTTTAGCCACTGTCCTGTATTATCTCCCATGCAGTTGGGAATTTTAATCTTTACTACGGTTCTCATTCAGGAGCCATTACAAATACTAGCACCTTTAATAAATACAGAATTAATGATTTCCTGATCATAGGCAGTTTGTAAGGTGGGAATAAGTAGGAAGTTGGAGAGCTGTTTGTTGTACTGGGAACTTGGGGGAGGTTAAATCAGAGTAGACTTGAAGAGATTAGTGCACGCTCACCTCACCTCGATGTTGTTTCAGGTGTATTTGGAGGCAGGTATGACAGGCTGAATAATGAGCACCTCCCCCCGCCCCACCCCAGAGACAGTCCTGTCTTAGTTCCTGAAACCTGTGAGTGTTACTTTCTATTGCTAAAAAGGACTTTCG